ATGGTATAACTAAGAGACAGTGATTCAGATGAAAGACGGTTTCAAAACTGGATTATTTCAAAATGTTAATAAATACGAGTATTATTTTTCTAAGATAATTGTTTAGTGGTCTCCAAGACTTGAGGTATGATCTTGGACGTTTCACCACCAGTTTAGACTGCTTCATCAACCTCTACCTCACATAAAAACAAAGCGTTTTCGTGCCTCATGAACATTTATCAAGGATATCCACCGACCTTGAGAGTTATTGGCTTATGGATAGGGGTGGCCTGTCCTTCTTCTTATCAGAGGTCGATCGTTATAACTATTGTTGTCATCTGATCTTCGCCATTGAGCTAATAGTAATAATAATAATAATAATAATAATAATAATAATAATAATAATAATAATAATAATAATAGCTTTATTCCAAACAACACGTGAGGTACAGTACAGAATTCTCAACAAGTAATAGTTCAACAAATTCCCTCCCTGTACAATATCTTTAGGAGAAATAATCACTGCATTTGAGTAATGTTAATAACAACAATGATACAAATCCTCAATGTAAAACAGGCACAGGTACATTAGCTTCTGGTTTGGAATGGTGAATGAACAGAAAATCCAGGATAATTTTGGCGGTGGTAGTTGATCCAGCCAGTACCAAATTCTTCGATTCGACATAGTTATCCAAGGAATAGTAATATACTATACTTCTCCTACCGGCGTACCGTTTTTTCATTGCTTTTAAGAGTGTACAAGAGTACATGACGCTTTTAAAAAACATATTAAAAAGGTTAAAACAAATTGAAAGGAAGGAATATGACGAAATATATTTGGTGGAAAATTTTCTGTAGCCCAAATTTCAAGCAGGCCGCCTTATCAGCTAATGCTTGGTTATCGAATTGCATGACCGATTTCCAGTTGGGTGATCCCGACTGACTTCTCACCTCAGTGTCAATATTATTTCTATTGCACCTTCAATCATTACCCGATATCAATGCAAGTCTACCAAACCACGGCTATCTCAGATAATCAAAATGATTATAATCATTAGAGTGGTATTCACCACGGACTGAAATCAGTTGTAAAACCTTTGAAAACCCGGAAGCACTGCATTGCTGTTTCATCTTAATATGGGACTCCTCAACAGTGCGCACCTATGACTCCTTCAGGGATCGAGCTCAGAACCTTCGGGTGGACAGCGAACGAGTTAACCATTCAGGTATTGAGCTGAAATTCACATTTACTGAGCCATGTTCGAAGGTGTCCTTTGATCAGTTTTTTAAAAGTGATTATACAGCTTCTGAAAATGATATTATAGCAAACCAATTTGTTGACCGAAGTCTTTATTCTTTTATTCCCATATGAATTCTTTAGCAAATTGGACCTGAGGCTATGATATGTCTCTTCCAGAAATAAGTCATGCATGAAATCACTATGCAAGCCGTAACAGTGAAAAAGACGGGATCCAAATGAGATGAGACTTACTCTCCTTTCTATTGTTTATGTGTGGATACCCATTCGTTTGAAGAGCAATAGAGCTATGTAGTGGGTGGCGGTGAAACATATTCCTAGATGTCTGAAAACAACCATATTCTATAATTCTGATAAATACAAGGGACAGACTGAGATGATTGTTTATAGACAAGCATCTGACAGAAGAGCGTCATAGGGCTGATATCAAGACAGCCTTAAAACCAACAAGTGTTAGCACTGTTTACCCATGTTTATTGAAGCCTCGGTTACACGAAAGTACAAACCCTTTAAGTGTATCCAGAAGCAAACTGTTCTCGCCCCAAATCTTCCTTGGAAAATGTTATCTCTTTTTGTTGTCAAGGTCAGAGTACAAACATGCTATTCTTCCCATATGATTCTTTTATATTCAAACCTTCTGTCACCTTAATTTCATCCGTCTCATCCCATTCTGTTTTCCAACTTCATAATAAAATGCTTTGACAAACGGATATCTGATAAGATTGCTGGAAATGGGATGTGCAAATAAACCATACTTGCTAAATAATCTCATGCAGATATAACTCTTCTCTTGGGTGTCTGCTTAGAACTTGGGCTACCAAAAACTTTCTCCTTGAATATATTTCATCATATTTTTCCCTCTCAGTTTACTTTAATCTTTATGTACTCTTGCACATTTTGGAAATGTTTTCAAACTGTTGTTTCTCAAGCTAAGAACAAAACAAAGAAAAATGTTACTCCGGATGGAAACGGATTAGTAAATGCTCAAAAATACAGCACACTACTATTCCTATGATACTTGTATTGGATTGTGAATTTCTGTAATGGCTGACTGAACTAGCACCATCCAAATTCCACTCAATATTGTGTTCATTTCCTAGTTGAGACCAGATGCTAATGTAGCGCCAGCTGCCCGTTTCACATTTATGCCTTTAATGCTGTTTTTATTATTGAGAGTGTTCCTATGCAATGGTTATTTCTTTTGGAAATATTGTACAGGAAGCGTATTTTGTTAAAGTGTCACCTACTGAAAATTCCATAATACATAACACATGTTGTCTGGAATGAAGCGATTAAATTTATTATTATTGGAAATTTACTGTTTTTTTCAATGAAATATTCCCTAGATCAAGCGGAGGCTTACTTGTGGCATGAATATCTTTCTTTACCGTATACTATCACTGTAAATAAACTAGGTATACGAAATATCACTAAAGAGGCTACAACTGTGAGCATTGGTGAAAATTTTGGTGGAATAGTTTTACTTAAATCTAAGGGCTTATATATTCTATATCACTCATCATGGACTCTATCTAAGTTGGGAAAGAGATTGAATTTACAGTCATTTTCCAGATTTCATCTCATAACCAACTCAAATGAGGCATGTGCTGGTCTACATAAACTTGATGAAGAAGAACTATAAATCAGATCTTTGAAAAAATATAGATCACGCCAACTTTGTAAAAGAATCAGTGCAAAGCTTAGTTCTTTGGGTTTATTCACAGTTGATCACTGACGTTGGCTACAGCGAATATCGAAAAAGTAGTGAAACATTGTAAAGTCATTATTTTACTTTTAGAAACTAGGGTGTCATGTAGATGATGATAATAATGGTATGCTTGATGGATGAGAGTGTATCTGTTTGTTAATAATTCACTTTATTTCAAATTAAATTGGAAGTGACGCCAAGAACTCCACGAAAGTCATCCATAAAATCCGAAAACCAACGGTGTCAGTTAGCTGTCATTACGAACATGTAAATTTTTTGGTTCACAACTTGATTTCCTAAAATAAATTTATTTTCTCCTATTCATCAGAGAAACTAGTAATCATTTCCCAGTATATAGTCATGCTATACTTCTCAGTTGTTCCATACAACCATAACTGGTACTCGAATATTGACTTATAAGGGTTTGCGTTTGAGTTTTAAAGTGTGTAAGGATCATTAGAATGCAGACAAATCCAGATGATTGGTCAAGAAAGCCGAAAACTGTATCGTTAACGAACATCACTCAACATTATCAGTAGGCAGTCTGGTTTTCATACTTTTATGACAACTAAGGATACTAGTTTAAGGCTCATAATTAACTCTAGTTTTCATCACAAATGAAAGTAGACTATGAAATGTTAACACTTATTTCTTCTTATGTTTAGCTACTTCAGTAATACTCATCAGTCATGTCACATGATTATTGTCAACATATAAGCTCACGCGATTACTTGATAGCCTTGATCTTGTTTCATGGGCTATTGTAAAGTATAACAACAAATAAAGTCCTCAGTGTGACCATCAAAGATAGCCGTGGTTTGTCAGATTCGTATTATTGATACCAGGAGATGAATGAAGGTGAAGTGAAAATTTGGGTAACGGCAAGATTTAAACCAGTGGCATTCGATTTACTGGCCCAGCAGTCTACCAACTGAGCCACGAAGCCCAGTTACTGCCTACGTACTGACTTCATTTCAGTCACCAAGGGATTAGGAGGAGGGGACGTGACTTAGTAACCAGTGTGAATACCATAAGCGGATAGTTACGCGTTGTGGATTCACATGATAGGCCAGCAAAACTTTTGGTAATGGAAGCGAAATTAAGGTTTGATCAGCACCTGGGTCTCGTAGCTCACTTGGGAGAGCCCCAAATGGATAGTTAGTTCAGATAAAATTCTGTCTGACTTATCGTTATTATACACATCTACAGATACTAGACAAGATATTTAATACTTTCATTTGAGTAATTTGTCGAACTCAGGAATAATACAGTACTCATTCATAACTTACTTCAAGGGTTTTCTAGAGAAAATTAAATTTATTAGCTCGGACAAGTTGGCAGTGAGCACGCATTTTAATCATTAGTACTTAGAAATGAGTGTGAAATACTTCGAAATATACGAAGTTGGAATTTCAATTAGCTCATAAAATGACCTAAATGTTCTGTATTAGATACCGCATTTGAAGAACAAAATATACCGTTAAGGTCTGTGTAACAAAGATAATGCAGGCCTTCAGTTCTGTCTGATTTTTAAATGGATCTCCAATTCATATCACCCTTCATTCTTTGTGAAACTTTTACAAATGCTTCTGTTTATCTGTTATTTCTTATTAGTAGTCAATAACCCGTATCCTGATGCTAATACGTGTGAACCTCTAACTGTAATGCATACTTCTGATCAACTTGATGAGTCTGAAACCACTCACACCAACCAGTGATGATTGACAGTCAGCTAGAAGTGATCTAAACACCATCAAATAGCCATATCGCCTCAACATGGCTAACGAGATCAAAGTGATTAGTTGTTCAGCACTCTTGTTAATCAGTAGCCTTTATCAAACAGTCTCCTGCTCACTATCTTGGTATCATTTTCCGTGCTGATCAGATTACAAACTATGGTCAGGATATTTCTGTTTCTAAAGGGAATCATAGTGGATTCCTACAACTGGTTTTCCCCATATTGTGTCGTTCTCATCAAGGAGTGACAGTCTTTTAAGTACTTGTTCGGCTTTTAGAAGTCCCTTGTGAAACACGACCTCTGGATACTAGCTATCAACTAATTCATTCTTTCATTCAGCAAGCCTGTATATTCTCCTAAAGCCTTACAGTATGTCAACGACAATGTCACATCCTTTTGCATCTACCAATTCAAATATGCGTGTGGTAACACATACATAGGGAGGGCTCATAGGTTCGTGCCAGTAAGAGCCTTGGAGCATATTTCAAAGTGGCTTCAGAAACAAACTGAATCACCTGAATGCATAAACGTTGGTAGAGGCCGTTAAAGTTCTTGGATTGCGAAACATATCGTTGAGACAGGTCACAGGGTGGATGTTGCCACTTCCTATAGATCTATTTACAAATCGTGTTGAGGGCGGATCCTTAAATTTGTTGAGACCTTAGGTATTAGAAAACCTCGCCTGGTTAACTAGTTTACTAGTTACTAGCCGGTCCTAAGCCCGGGTAAAGAGGGAAGGTTGGGCATAGGGCTAGCAACCCTACCCCCTAAAACAAATCTAACCGCTAAAGAAACTTCAAAGCACAAACAAAATATAAAAAATGAAAACAAACTTATTCCTCGCTGGAATCGGAGAGGCGAAATGACGCCAGTTGGTGAAAGCCTTCGGGAAGCCAATTGGCCGATGTGTCTTCTCTCGATGAAAGCGAAAGTAAACGTGGGGACATGGAATGTCCGTACGATGTTTGAACCCAGTAAGGCAGCCCAGATTGCAAAGGAGATGAGAAGGTATAACATCGAAGTGCTTGGGATTTGCGAAAGCAGATGGAATGGGAGTGGAGTCTCCAAACTGTCAACTGGAGAATCAATAATCTACTCCGGTCACCCAGACGCCAACCACGAGCACACTGAGGGAGTGGCTATCATGATGTCCCCAAGAGCATCGAAGGCTCTTATGCAGTGGGACCCAATCTCCTCCAGGATCATGACAGCAAGATTCAACTCAAGAGGAAGAAAGGTCACAATCATACAATGTTATGCACCTACAAATAATGCAGAGCAAGAGAAAAAGGAGGAATTCTACAGACAACTTCAATCAACACTGGACAAGACGTCAGTTGGCGATATCAAAATTCTAATGGGTGTGGCGACATGAATGCCAAACTGGGAGGGGACAACACGGGAAGAGAACTAACCATGGGTCGAGAGGCGCTAGGTGAAGTGATGAACGAGAATGGAGAATTGTTTGCAGAATTCTGTGCATTCAACGATTTGGTGATTGGAGTCAGGTACTGTGTTCAAGCACAAGGGAATATCCACAAAGCGACATGGATTTCACTAGACACCAGGACACACTAAAAATCAAATCGACTTTATCTCAATCTCAAGAAAATGGAGACGCAGCCTACTTGACACAAGGTCAAGAAGAGGAGCAGATGTAGGTTCAGACCACACACTATCTAGTGCAATTAACCTTCCAAATCAAGTTAAAAGCCTTCAAGGAAGTTGGTGATCGACCACAGTTGAAGTACAACACTCGGAAACTGAAGGATGAAACTACAAAGGAGATCTTCACGCCAGTCAGCCATCAAGACTAAGTGGGAGATATCGAGGAACATCCCTGAAGAAACCTGTGTGGAAGAACACTGGAAGTCTTTGAAAGCTATGTGGAAAGAAACCTGCACAACAGTATTAGGAAGGAGGAGGGTGGAAGACAAGGAATGGATCTCGACGGATACCTGGAAGCTGATAGAGGAGAGGAGGATGGTGAAGCAGAAGATAAACCAGTGCAAGGATGCTCAACGACAAGAGGAACTGAGCACAATGTATAAAACACTGGACAAAGAAGTGAAGAAGAGTGCACGGAAAGACAAAAGACACTTCTATGAAACACTGGCAAGTGAAGCAGAACAGGCTGCAGGTAAGAGAGACCTGACGACATTGTATCAAATAACCAGGTTGCTATCAGGGAATAGACCAACACAGATGAAACCAATAAAAGATGATGACGGAAATTTAATTACGAAAGAAGAGAAACAGAGGAAACAATGGGCCGACCACTTCAAGAAGCTCTTGAATCGACCACCACCACCACCTGCACTTCGTCCAGAAATACCACCAGCAGCCCAGCCATAGAACTACAAGTGAACATAAATCCCCCAACGAAAATGGAAGTCCTGAACGCCATAAAGCTACTGAAATGCGGGAAAGCAGCAGGACCAGATGGAACACCGCCAGAAGCACTGAGAACAGATGCAGAGACAACAGCAGACATGCTCACACCACTATTGCAGAAGGTGTGGAAGGAAGAGAAGGTACCTGGCTAGTGATTGGAAGAAGGGTTACCTTGTCAAACTGCCGAAGAAGGGAGACCTCAGTGCTTGCAAGAACTGGCGCGGAATCACTCTCCTGTCCACCCCAAGTAAAATATTAAGCCGCATCATCCTGGAGAGGCTAAGGGATGCACTGGATTCAAAACTACGACCGGAACAGGCTGACTGGATTCAGGAAGTACAAATCATGTGCAGACCAAATTGCAACGCTACACTACGCATCATCATAGAACAGAGCATAGAATGGCAATCAGCTCTCTACCTCAACTTCATCGACTTTGAGAAGGCCTTTGACAGCGTCGACCGAGAAGTAATTTGGAAACTGCTTCAATACTACGGAGTACCGCAAACCTTTATCCGCCTCATTCAACAACTATATGAAGATGCCACATGCCAAGTAATTCACAATGGGATGCTCAGGGATGCCACTGAAGTGAAGTGAAGACAGGAGTAGGAGTGAAACAAGGTTGCCTACTATCCCCCATGATATTCCTGATTGTGGTCGACTGGATCATGCAGCAAACAGTGGGGAGCTGTGAGAAGAGGGGGATACGCTGGCTGGACTGCGTAAAAGAACCTAGAAGACTTGAATTTCGCCGGTGACTTTTGCCTGATATCACATAAACTTGAAGATCTGCAGGCAA